TTAACCCCTTGACATACCATTTTCTTCGCAGTTACTGCGATTAGAAATTTTTCGATTGCAATAATTTCTTAGAAGCGAAAGAAAATTGCTGCTTATTGTATGCCTAAATTCTCTTGAATGCTTAAACATTGATAACAAGAGATTAGAAATTTATTGCAATTTTAAAGGACAGAATAACAGCTATACTCGATAAATTATTACTAGAAATTTTCATGACGAATCGAACTCGTCAAAGTATGGCAAGGGGTTAAGTGAGATTTTACAGCGTCATCGTCATTCAAAGTTTTACCACGAAGGGAGTTGTCCAGGGATCGAAATAAGTGGTAATCCGATGGCGCGAGATCAGGGCTAATATGGTGGGTGTAACATCAATTCCCAACCAATATCCATCAATTTTTGCCGAGTGGACAAAGACGTGTGCGGCCTAGCATTGTCCTGCTGGAAAATGGCACCTTTACGATTGACCGATTCTGGTCGCTTTTCCTTGACCGCTGCATTAAATTTGTCCAGTTGCTAACATTCACGGATAATAAAAAATAACATAATAATAATAATAATAATAATAATAATTTTATAATATAACATTTACGGATATCATAAAAATGGGATTGAGAGACATCTATAACTGAAATCGGCAATTACTTAGTTGCCAACCCAATATCATGGCGCTCGAAGTACTTTGGGTCGCGCTGTTTCGAGAAGCTAGCTGTACAGTTCCTGGATGCGGGGAAGTTACGAAGATTTGTTCAACTTAGGTGCTCACCCAGGGTCGTAAGGAACATGTAAACTTGTACAATAATTTCTCTCAGAGATTTTCGGAGATCGGAATTGAAAATTCGACGGTCGCGTACCTAATACCTATCACGTATCTTGTAATTCCGCGGATTTTTGTACCTGACACACCCGACGAACCATTCTGTGTTGTCTTCCGGTAATTCCATAGGCGTAGGGAAAATTATAGCACGGGGAAATTCACAGCAACCCGAAATTTGGCATTTCCGGGAGAAATTACTGTATTTGGCTTTTGATCGTGAACGACTTATTCGACTAAGTCCTGGTGTAGCATTCGGTTAAGCCTGCCCTAACACCGGTACTCTGCTTCCTGTGTATAATTACGAGCATTCTTATGAAAATAAATTAATTAATTTAAGATCAACAATTTGATTCTGAATAATCGGTATCGACTTCGAAAAACTGCGACATATTTGTAAAAGTTAATCGACGATACGGAAGGATTTAAAAGAAACACGATACAGCTACTATGGAATTATTAATGAACAGTTTAGTTACTCGTGGCGACAGCTCGTTGCATTCTAAGATACGACATTACCGTGGCATGAACTCGCGTGCATTCGCGTCGTGTAGGTAATGAATCGCTTGATTCACGCATTCGTTACGACCAGGGTGAGATAACTAATGGTACGAAAGAGCATCTACGCGAAGTGTCAACTCCCGAACATTTCTTGCGCCATTAGCTTCGTATACATTTTTTTACAACGCCGTGATCTTGATCGTAGAATGGAGCGAAACGAATTGTTACATTATATTTCCCGTATTTTGTTCTACTATACCGTCTCGTGATATTGTGAGGTTCGTAGACGTTTCTTGTTAGCCCCGTTAGCTATAAAATTATTTTTTTATATTACCCGTAACGTTTAACTATCCGGTGACAGAGTAAAAGAGATGACAATGTAATCAGAGAATGCCGGGTGAACCGCGTAACTCGATCCAACTTGGTCGCCTCTCTTTTAATTGGATCTTCTCATTTCGTTTCGTGAAATCTCTTTAGCTCGCAGCTGCGGAGCACTCTTGGAACAGTGGAGAAGATCAATTATAAATTATTTAATTATTTTTCGGTAGACGCGGAAAACAAATTTCACGAAGGTGCAATGAAAAACAATTATGCGGCTCTTGTTACACGGTTCACGCCACAATTTGGAAGCTTGATTTTCAGATTGAACTACTGCGTTTTTTCTTCTTTTTTTGGACTGGGTTCTTGAGTATCGTTTACACGCGAAAATGTTTGTCCGAGTGACGATGTGCTACCTCCAGCGAACTGCAGAAACGTGGCACGTGGGGAACACCAAGACGACGAAGAAACATCCTACGATTCAAAATTCGAAAGATCCTGCACTGTTCGTTCAAATGATTACAAGTATTGCAGACCCAATTGTTCTACATTGCTAATTAACACTATGCCGTCCGGTGGCACCACTTTGGTGCCATTTTAAAAAACTGAAATAACATTTGAACTATATTTCTTGGATGTTAAAATGCAGCAAACTAACTATAGCATTGTGCTTATTTAACTAAGAATTAAGTACGAAAATTCTTGGATGACATATCATAATTTTAGGAATTTATATTACCGCCATCTTCGAAATTTTGTTTAAAATCTAAAATTTCCAAGCTATTATGCCGGCGTCAAACGAAAGAATCGTATCTAAGATCTGCGGACGGCATAGTGTTAACATCCTAAACTGTTGTAAAATATAAACTGCCATGGAGAAGGAAGTTTCTAAATCCTCTTTCGAAAATAAAATCCCTCGGAAAAAATATAAAGTAGATTACCAAGTAAATAGATTTAAGGAGTCAGATTACGTCTGCAGGAACGAACGAAAAATGAATGCGGCATCGAATACAGAACATCGGCGCGAGATTCGCGCGAGTCCCCGAAGCGCCGTAATTTGCGAAGGTCTGCAATTGGTAATTACAGAATCACCGTTAAAATTGTTTCAATATCTCGGCGAACATTGGATCCCGGAACATAATCGTCGCGGTTACGTAGTACGTGTCGTCGGAACGGTATCATTACGCACACTCGTGACCCACATTTGCTTAAGAGCCGCACGGGTGCGCCGGTCTTCACTTTGCTTTTATTTAATAAGGTGTACCTATATGTATTTAAATGCCATACTAATTACTGTAAATACCGCGAACAAACGTGTATCTATATCTATATATATTATATATATATAAATATAAATATTCTATGTACTTAAAATTCGCCGACATCCGAATACGAGGCAACCATCAACGAAAACCACTCGCGTTGATCTCACC